AAATTAATATTATGTTAACAAACAATAAAAAACAAGTCATATATAATTACAAACTAATTACTAATTTATAATTGTGATTGTGTCAAATTACCAGTACGATTCTCACTACAACTTTGTGTTGCCAGGTGCCTTTCATTGTTATTATTATTTTTGAACCTGAGAAAATTTAAGAAAAAGGGAACGAAACAAAAGTAGTCGGAGTAAAACCATGGTCATGGGCATTGATAGATGCACCTCTACCATTGCGACTATAGCTGTAGATGCAAGTTGTGTAATTTTTAAACTAGAGAAATACTTCTTTTGAATTTGAACCACCAAAATATGAATGCATGGGTAACAAAAATGATAAAATTCAATCCATTTAAAAGTTAAAGGAAATAAATTGATTCATAATTTAGATAAAAAAAATTCAAAGACAACTTTTATAAATCTGTATATATCATTCACCAATGATTAACTTTATTTACTTATTTAGAAGTCTTGATATTATATACATTCCCTTATATAATGGCATATGCAAATTATAAATAAAAATTGCATAAATAAATTCTTTACATATCATTATGATAATTCTCTATTTTATCTTTCTTTATAATGTTTTAGGATTAAGAGAAATAGAAGGGAAAAAAATTCTTTATTTTATTATAAAAAAATAGAAGGAAAAGGAGGGGAAAATTTTCTTTTACTTTATTTTTTTATAATTTAATTACTCATCCAAAATGAGAGAAAAGAAGGGGAGAAGAATGAAAGGAAATGAAAGGATATAAGTCCCCTCAACCTAAATATGGTGTTAAGAATTAGGTAAATTCATTCTTCAAATGAAGGTTACATACAAATTACACTCAAAGAATTCCCAAAGAGTACATTTATTAATTATATCAACTATTGCAAATAAAACAGTTATTACCATTTGTATCATTTTGTTTTCAAAATTTATATCTTTAATCTCTTCTTTCTCAATTCTCACTCCATTTTTATTATGTTCTCAACCAAAGTTTGTTTTTCTTTTTCATATAGTGAAAGCTATAACAGGAACGAAAATAAGTTCACACGCAACTCTATTTGGACCAAATCGAATCTTATGCGAAGAAGAAGAATACAATCAAATGGACCCAACTTTTAGTCTTTGG